TTCGGCATTATATTTCTGAACACAAGACTCGTGGGAAATGGTTATTTGTCAGGGAAAAAACGAGACATTACATGGCGGCTGATCTCCATGCTTCTGGTAGACTGACATAAATTGGTCTAAAAATCTGCCGAATCATATTTGCTATGAAAATATTTCAAATCAGCAATAATAATTTCGCTTAGACAAAATATCACAGCCAGATTGCCTGTCATTCTGTTTCTACGAGGGAAAAACAACAAAGATATGGTTTTTAAACCACAATAAAATTCACTTTCCAGCGTAAGCAGGATATAACTCGGTGTTCAATAAGAGTTAGGGATTTTTATAAAATTACCTCCATATTTGCTGCACTTTGGTCAGTGAAATTTAGGGGTAAATTATGATGAAATTCAGGAAAGCGACATTGTCATGGCCTTGAACTTTGGAAGTGGACCAAGGAAATGTGATATGACATGAGCTAAGAACGTTGCGTCGGCAAACACTCAAATGTGACTATCAGAGATTTAATTACTCGGAACAAAGTTAAAATGACTGATATTCGTGGTAGATATCAGTCAGCAAATAGTCAAGTAAAAGACAAGTCACTTTTGTTTTCCACTAAGCGACTCTCTCAAAATGAAGACATCTGTAATTAATATGAAGGCAGACGGTACGTATCTAATATGTGTTTGTCCCTAGAGGTTCATTAAAATATTCACAATGATTTCTCCTATCTGTTGCTATATTTTTCTCTTGAAAATATGCAGGTAACTCCAATAATAAAGATAGATTGGAATTAATATAATTCATATAAAAGGAAAAGGACTAAGTGTTCTGCCCTAAAGAAAATCAAGACGCCCTTTACTAATTATATTTTTTTATTTTCTATAGCGTGACTGTAAAACTCCTGAGATGAAGGTACACACATGTTAAATTACGAACTACAGTAGTCATTACGCAAAGAAAAGAGGGCCAATACTTAGCTACCTGAATACAAAGAAATGACAATGAAACGGGTTTTCAAAATATTCATTGGTGTAACACTAATAGTATCTTATTATACTTTCATACTATCTACCAGACTTAATGATATTTTGTGTCCTGATTTCCTATACACTATTTAATTCATTATAGTGATATCAAAATTTGGAACACGCGTCGAACTTCAGCTGTCAGTATTATGCCCTGACAAGTGAAAATCTGTAGTCTCCGCACAAGAACATGGCTGCCCCTAAACCATGCGTTTATGAGCAGTGTATGTTCATTTTTTAAACTGAGAATGCAACTGAAATAAGTATCCCTCGATAAGTGTTTATGCCTCTGTATAACGAGGAACTTAATTCTAACTGAAGGATGCTGAACTTCGTCGAACGAGTCGCCACTATGTAACATTAGTTTCATCTCCGTCACTTTAGGTGGGCTAAATTTTAGCTCGTATTCTTACACTTGAAGAATTTGTGAAACAAAGTTACATGAAACACAGTTCAGATATTTATTTTCTTCAGAATATACCAGAATATATAATCGACCGAAAGGTAATAGCAAACGTAATGAGCTGTGTCCTGATAAGACGAAGAGTCGGATGCTACTGCTACAAATTCGGGGCGACCCACACCACAGAAGTTCACTTCACGTTAAATCGAAATTTATGAATTATCTTAAAAACTGATTATCATACTACAAAAATATTCGTTACATAAATCATAGATTTAGTAATGCTGCTATGTCATTTAATCTGACCCTGAATATTTTCGTAATTTTCCTCGGTCCATCCAGGCACATGCCGTAATAGCCCATTAAATTCGGGTGAGACCGTTTCATTCCTTTCCGATTCATTATTCATTAGTCATCCAATCATTCAAGTTTACGATAGTATCGTTAAATAAATATCAAATACATAGATTTAATCAGGCCTTAATTATGTGTGTCTTAAATTCAGCCGCTCACAGATGTACCTACGTACATGTGCACTACATGGCGTAGGCTGTAACACGTCAGGTCTTCGATCTGAAGTTATTCGATTCAAATCTCGGATTTGGTTTTTAATTCGTTTCCGTCGTTCCTTCAGTAGAATATCAAGAACTGGCTTTAAACAGGGCGAAAAATGACGTCTATATGTTAAAAATAAATTACATTGGCTCAGAGAGAATTTCATCACTAACTTAGCCTACATTGGTGACGTATGATTATCAACCAACCGTCTTATCACAATCGAACATTGACTCCGGATCGTTATACTCTCTTATTTATTATACAAACTTCTGGCAAATAAATTGTCACTGTTCTGGCCTTCAAGAGTAGCTTCAAATGATTCTTTGTATAGTAAATATTAAAGTTTTATGGTTGATTTTAATGGAAGTGAACAGTTGTAAAATTAAATAATAAATTCGGAAAATATTTGTTCTTATTTAGTTTTAAAACTCTTATCCGCCTACTTTCCAAACTCTGAAGATCAGATGTACAAAATAATACTTTCGTCAGTTGTGATATAGATATGGTCTTAGAAGGAAAGACTTAAATTACAAATGAAATTTGATATTCTCACGGTGACGAGGATGAAGATAGCTTTATTCTGGGTTGTTGTATCGAATAGTCTGTAAGGTAGTGACCGACGTTTCAGAGGAGCTTTTATCTTTCATCGCTTGAGTGATCTGCTACACTGCAGTTCGCAACATTCAAGGAGACGTCCATCTTCATAAATTACAAGTGTTTGAAATCAAAGTTCTCAAAAACACTTTTGAGTTAAAAAGGATGAAGTAATTTTTAAAACATTCAAAAACTACGAACTTTGTGATTTTTGCAGTTATCTAGTAGATTACTGGACTATAGGAAGCTATGATGGATTGGACACTTAGCTAGGATGGGGAAACAAGGAATGCGTACAGAATTTTGATAGATAACGTGTACTTTGTAGACAAGGATGGAATGAAAACATTAAAGATGGCTCTTGTAGAATGGGGAGTAGATGTTGAACATTCCACATCCAATACTACAGAGTTAGTTAATTAGATTGATTTTACTAATGAAATGACAGAATATTTATTTTGTTTGTTGTGTTTCGACTATAATAACGTGTCCCAGCAATATTTTATCACCAAGTTCTTCAACAACAATCTCTCATTCAAAATTTCATTAATATCCGACAGCGGGTTCAGAAGACGGAAGGGGCGACACACACGCACGCACAGAGGAACAAATGTCTTCACACCGTAGCTCAAGTATCAGTGACTGTTGATCAATAGCTGAGTCAGTATCTGCGTGCTCAGCTTAAGTCAAATTTCAAGTTCATCATAAATTCCCATGCGTAATGTCACAGCGACGTTTCCGGACAGAAACAAATTATTTTCGCTACAAAATACAGAGGTCATTAGTTGCAATGTCGTGGAGTTCTTGAAAAAATTGATAAAAGCTCAGTTGGTAAAATAATTCCTCGTCTTTTATGGAACAATGGAGTTCATTAACGTGTTCACAATAGCCCATCATTGAAATATATCCTGGGCCAGCTGAATCCAGTTTACACACTCACGTCCTATTCCTTTAATATCTTTTAAATAATTTTCCTCCGTGCCACTCCCGGGTCTCTCAAATGGCATTTTTCCTTCAACTTTCTAGAATGAAACTTTGTATGCATTTCTCATTTCCGTCATGTTCGTTACATATGTCGCCCATCTTTTCTTCTTGGTTTTTTCGCCCTAATATTTAGGTAAGATACAAATTAAAACTTCCTAAAGACGGACGTCTTCAGGGTTGTAGCGCCGTGTCAGGTAGAAGTTTACCAACATTTCAAGGGCACCTGCTGCCTCCAGATCGCCCTAATGGCGGAGGTAGTACAAAACAATAATTTTATCTGTTGCGTTAAAATGATATAATGAGAAGCTTTAACAAAAATAAGTGGGCCGATCAAATAAAGATAGGAAAGGATGTAGCAGGTTGGTGTGAATAAAATCATACATAATTTCTGTTGGTAAAACTGATTGGAACAAACCACTTGAGAGTCGCAGGCGCAGATGTGAGACTAATTGAAATGGATGTTAAAGTTATGGAGTAGACTGGATTCACCAGATTTATTGCAGGAACCAACGGCTAGATCTTCTATTGATGTCTCTAACTAACTAGATGGCTTACCCAACCTGAAGGTTCATCACCGAATTAACCAAAGCCCTCCACCGGACCCTGTCCTGGGCCAACAAAATCCAGTCTCCTTCAACTCCTATCTCCCATAGATCTCGCCTGAGATTATCCTCCCATCTGCGTCTAGGTCTCCCCAGAGGTCTCTTCCCTTCAGGCTTCCCAGCCAACACCTGGTGCACACCTCTTGTCCCATCCATGCGCGCTACATGCTCAGCCCATCTCATTCTTCTTGACTTAATCGCCCTGACAATATTGGGGGAGGAGTACATTGATATGTCTATAGGCGAAATGCAATTAAATACCAACCTTACGTCATCTGTAGGGCAAGTTCCAACTACTGATTGATGTAAATTCCGGCGGGAATGCTGTTTCACAGATATTTGTGTTTCCGGTCGTATATGACTTGATTCGTTAGAGAGGTTATGTATGAACCGTGCACCCGTTCCTCTTATGCCAACCAATGTGAGGACACTGATACGATTAATATAACACCTACACTGAAGGTAAATTTACTGCTTCTTGTAATTTGTAGTCATTGTCAGTGAGGGTGAAAGGGGCATAAGATCATTCCCTCAGCCCGTTGTTACCGTGTAGAAGTGTCTCATGATTGGAAGAAGGGAAAGACTAATTGTTGGCTAAATTATGATTTAAGTTAAATAATTTACTGTAAACAAGTTCTGTTAGATTTTACATATAGAAAACTGTTGTACATTTAATCTGAAAGTGGGTGACAGTTTAATTTTGTGAGAGATGCAACCTTATATAAGAACAGGGAACTCAAAAATATCAGTAATCAGCCAGTAAATTAAATTCACTTTTAAGTGAAAACTTTTCTGCTATTATGAAGACATCACTTTCTAGTTTACTAAATATTCTCTTTTGTTGAACAGGGCAGGATCCATTGCAAAGTCAGGAGACATCCTTCTCTTCGAAAGCAGCAGATACTGTTACATCTTGTATTCAGGCCGAAGTGTCTGAGATGTGCACAAAAGAGTTTGTGCACAGGCGATTTCCATTCACCAAATGGCTCCCGCAATATAATTTCTCCACTTTAGTTCAAGACGTGCTTGCTGGGTTAACTGTTTCACTGACCTTAATTCCACAGTCAATTGCATATGCTGAAGTTGCAGGTCTACAGCCACAGGTATACATATTGCTACTAACATTTCAGAAATATGTCATGGCAAACTTCTTCTAGAAATTGTTTTCTATTTACTTTTTATTTATAGTTTCTTATGAATTGGTATAGCTCTGTAAGTAAGCAGCCTATCAGCTGGATGACAGGGGTTAGATTTCTGGCAAGTAAGTAAGCAGGCTATCATCTGGATGACAGGGGTTAGATTTCTGGCAGATGCAGAGACTTTTGCCTTTATTGATTTGTCCAGATTGGGTTAATTTCCTAGATGTGAAGCTGACCACTCACCTCTATCTAGTTTTGAGGTTAAGAATACATAGTGCTATACTTCCACTCCGTCATCCATCTTTATGGCATGGAGCTTAATTAACCAGCAGAAACATTTTATCATTGCAATTTCTTAGTTTCACTGTGCAGTTTTATATAGTCAGTTTGTCTATTTTCATCTTATATACTAATGACAGTAAAAATAATTATTTTTAATGTACATTTTGTGAATAAAATACTTTGCACTAAACTCACATTCAGTTTCCATGTCTGGTTTAAAAGTATTTTTTCTTTGTGCTGGGTTATATGTTAACCTCTAAGTTCTGTTTTCTTTGTTACAGTATGGGCTATATGCATCATTTATGAGTTGCTTTGTATATATTTTTCTGGGCAGCTGCAAGGATATCACCATTGGTCCAACAGCCATTATGGGTATCATGACAAATCCTTTTGTTGTTGAAAATGATAATCCAGACTTTGCAGTTCTCTTGTGTTTCCTCATGGGGTGCGTTATAGTTTTGGTGGGATTATTAAGACTTGGTGAGTCTACTAACCAAATGTGTGTTATTAGTTACATGAGGTAAAATGGATAATGTAATTAAATATAGTAATTTAAACTCTTCAAATTTATCAGAAAGCCACTCCATTATCTTGCTTTGTGTTGTACAGCATTTATAATTTTTGTGTGACTATAAAAATATTTACAAGGACATTTATCTGAAGTGCTGATGTGCAGAATAATTTGCTGTTATAGGTGCCCAGTTCAGTGGCAGGTTGAGTGCCATAGGGTCAATAGATAACTTTACATTGAGTCTTTGTTGTGGAAACATTGCATGCTTTAGCCATGCAATTTTAGTTGCACCATTGTACAGAACTACAAACCTTCTGCTTCCATGTGACCCTTGCCTGTTGAGACCTTCTGCACACACAACAAATTGCTGGGGCTAAATATACAGACTTACAACCATAGATAATCTGCTTGCAACTGCATGTACAAATTAGTATCTCACTTTACAATCTGTGCATTGTGAGTTTCTGTTTTTCTGTCAGGTTTTCTGGTGGAGTTCATATCACTTCCTGTCATAGCTGGCTTTATATCAGCTGCAGCCATCACAATTGCATCATCTCAACTGAAGAGCCTGCTGGGAATTAAAGGGAGTGGTAATGATTTTCTGGAGTCATGGGAAAACCTGTTTAATAATATACAGAATACACAACCTGGAGATGTGACACTGGGTGTTTGCACTATAATTCTTCTGCTGATTGGACGGGTATGGTATCTGTTGTTAAAAGAGAATTTTTCTGATAAAATTATATCTGTTGTCTTAAATTAAAAAAATAAGGTTTAAAATTCAAGTCACTGAATTTTATACTAATGTAAGATAAACATTTACAAACTTGGTTCTACAGGTCTATATATCTTAATTTTTATGAAGTTATGGTTTGTTACCTAGAGATAACAGGCAGGATACTATTAAAATAAAATAAATTTTAGAGGTGGGCCCTTTTGAACACAGTAATAAACCTCCATATACCGTAAAAAGTGGTGTATTTCTCTGAGTAGCTGAACAGCTATTGCCTTTCCTGTTCTGTCATAAAAGTTATGTTTTAATATTAATAGAGTGAATATGATATTCTTTAAATTTTACATAACAGTGCTTTTAAAATTGTGTTCCAGCACTTTGAACAGTCTTAAGATTGCTGTCTTCTGGGTTGTTGCGCTGTGTAGTCTGGTAGATGTCCACCAACTTTTCAGAGGTTATGCTATCTCTGTCATCAGGGCGATGAATGAGCCAATAGAGCAGAAATGGCTATAGGGACGGAGGCAGCATGATCTCTGAAACATTGGTGGACATCTACCAGACTACACAGCACAACAACCCAGAAGACAGCAAACTTCAGACTCACTGCTGTGAAAACCTCAAATTCTATTTAAATTGTCTTGATAAAATTTCTGTTTGAACATAAAATGAAGACTGTATTTGTTAATTTCACAGAAAATGAAAGACTTTGCTGGGAGTCGTCAGAACTCTTCTGCAGTTCGCAGATTCTTGGGGAAGACAATGTGGATAATTTCAATATCACGAAATTCTATTGTTGTCATCATTGGTATGCTTCTGGCCTACATTCTCGAAAGCAAGGGATTCAAGCCCTTCAAAATAACAGGTATGGAATTCATTGCTTTCCAGATACAATAGTTTGGCTGCGAGTATCATGCATAACATTTGCATAATGTTGGTGTACCTGAGATCACAGCATTGCTTTTAATTCTGATTCCAAAGGAAAACTTTGTTTAGATGATTGTGATATTGAATGCACACTTGACTTTCAGCATTTCCAAGAAATGAAGATAGGAGGAAGTGAAGGCACAATTAGAGTACAAACATGGTGGTGAAGTGGTTAGTGTTTGTGTCATATTTGCAAAGTCTCGGATTCAGAAACTAATATTTTAAAACAGTAAAACATGCATCAGAATATTACTTAGTACAAATAACTACCATGTTCATAAATCTTCATGTCTTTTATTGCATTGCTATATCTTAATACATGAATTAAATATAGTTGTTATTTCTAGAGGAATAGCAGAAACACAAAATTAGACATTTAATCTTGATCTAGGTAAATGCATGTGGGACATTTAAATTTTTAATACCATGAAGAAAAATGTTGCAAAACTTAGGGTGTTTGTAAAGTTTTAAGTTCTTCCATTTTCCATTCTTTAATATTAATAATACTCTGTTACTGTCAGTAGTTCTGAAATCACTAGTTAACCTGGATATAAAATAGTAAGGCTCATAGTGCAGAAATTCCTCAGATTTCTTCATGACTTATTTCATTCAGGTGAGGTTGAAGATGGATTTCCACCATTTGGACTTCCTCCATTCACTACAGTCTCGCACAACCAAACCCTCAATTTTGAGGATATGGCAAGCAAATTTGGCACTTCCCTGCTGAGTGTTCCTTTCATCTCAATCCTGGAGACTATTGCTATAGCTAAGTCTTTCTGTGAGTATTTTTGCCTACATATTGTCTGTCTGAGCGGAAAACTGATTCAATCTTGTAGCCGTGACATGCTGAATGCTGTCCTAAAAACATTTCTCCCATCTAAAAATGTCCCCACTGTTGGATCAGTCTGCATATTTGATACCAGTGATCCAACTAATATGCTAAATTGCGTATAAACCTAGAAATACTAAAAATACAAGAATGAGACAAAACAGTAGAAAGGTAGAAAATTAATGGTGAATCGAAGAGTCAACTGATGATTCTGTACCACTTATTAGAGTGCTCTTTGACTGTGCAGGTGGGTATTTCTGTTTGAATGTTGATTTAGTTCTCTCCTCAGACAGAATATCATGATATCTTGACTTATATACATATAAGTTTACATTAAAACCTTTCATTTGTGACCCCATTTTGTTTTGTTCTAGCTAAGGGTAAAGCAGTGGATGCTTCTCAGGAGTTATTTGCATTGGGCTTTTCTAACATTATGAGCTCATTTGTGCGTTCTTTCCCACTTGCTGGATCTTTCTCTCGTACAGCTGTGAACAATGCATCAGGCGTCAAAACTCCTCTTGGTGGTCTGATGACTGGTAAGGAATCAGCTCATAACTTCATTCATTAAAATGGAAGTAAGAATATTCTTCTAAGTAAATCTGTAATGAAAGGGAAGTCTATACAAAATTATGTATTGTAACTTCAGGTCTCAGAATAGAACTCCAAGGCCCTAGGTAACATTAAAGTTTTTGCAATAAGTTGGTAGCCCCTTCTCGATCCACTCAACCACCAAGCTGGAAAACCACCGCATGTCACCTTTCTGTAATTGTATATTCAACATCTTCACAGTTTGCTTCCATATTTGGAGACACTCCTCTACCCGCAATGTGAGGATGTGCCATGTAGCGTGAACAGCACTAATTTGTATTGACATGCAAATTTTAATGAAAGTGTGAAATAAAATAATTGTTAGCATTTATTAGGAATGTTAATTTACTGGCATACAAATTATAAAATGGACAAGCCTGAGAAGGTTATAATTGTCAGAATAACTTGTGGATAAGATGAAAGCTGTTTGTAACATACTTTACCTATATGTAAACAAATATTTTTAGTACAGAGCAGTTCTTAATAATGCAAACTGTTGGTGTAAGGTTCCCATCCAGCAAATCTTGTATTGTTAATTTTATATTTGGGTTTTGTTATGTTTATAATCTAACAAAATTCTATTTAACTAATGGGTTAGCATGCTGAGCCTGGGAGTAGATGGGTATAAGATTAAATTCTACTCAAGTTATTTCTTGAAATAGCAGATATATTACACAAAGAACATTATTACTATTACTGTTATCCCTACCACAGAATTTGTTAAACAGAACCTTAAAGTCATGCAGTAATTGTGGATTTATCAGTTGTGTAGTATTTAAAGATCTATTTCCACAAAATTACCTGACTTAAGTGTTTTGTTATTGATTATAGGAAACTAAATAGTATGAGACTGGCGTGTATTCCATTGGTATAACATTCGCACAAGAATTTGTTAAAATTGGTCAGTTGGTTAAAAAAATCAGAAATGGGAGAAAACAGACTCTTTCCTCAAGAAAGTAAGGTAGGCTAAGAATGAAACATGAAAACAATGTGTTATTTGTAGATGATGATGTAATATTTGGATTGGAAGCATAAAATATTGTAAGGAGATCACAGAGACTGAATAATATGCCAAAGCAGTTTTGGCATAATTCCAAAGTATGAGTGATTGTGTTTCAGGTGCTATGGTCTTAATGGCACTGGGTCTTCTCACCTCCACTTTTGCGTACATTCCAAAGGCAACTCTTGCAGGTGTTATCATCAGTGCTGTTATCTTCATGGTGGAATATGAAATGGTTCCTTTACTTTGGAGGACAAAAAGTATGTGTACTCATATAAGAAGCAAAACAAATGACCCTGATCTAGTTAAGATAATGTGAAAGGATATAGTTTAGAATTAAATTATATTAAATAATGTTTGTGTGTTCTGATTGTTCAGAACTTTTAAATAGAATTTTAGAGTATAAATGATTTTGTTAAAGCAATTCATCTCAAACCATTCATTCTCTAATATTCTTTATGCTGTTAAGGTATAATGTATAACGCTTTATGTGAACAAATATTTTGCAGTACAGCTAGTCTTGTATGTTTGTCTTTCCCACTTTTTTTGTTTCCTTTCATACTTCTTTCTTCCCTCTTTCTTTGGCCCTCCCTCTATCACGCCTTTCTTTCTTCATTTATTTAACAGTTTTGTATCAGTTACACAGATTATGTTGTAGTTGTGGCACATATGTTTATTAGATTTAATACAATTTAGATGAAAATAAATCCTATATTAATATATGATGATGGCAGTCCAAAAGTGGCAGTATCTTGCTAATGTAGTTATATTTTTTAAATCTCAAGAGCAACTTTATTTATTCTGGGGCAAGCTGTAATTTGTTATAGTTTGCTTATTTGACTTCATGGAATTGGAATATGTTAAAGGAAATATGTTCTTGTTAATATACACAGACATTTTTAAACAATGAATAATGTTTCAGGGATTGACCTTATTCCTATGGCAGTCACATTCATAGCATGCTTGGGAATTGGACTTGACTATGGTATGCTTCTTGGTATTGGTGTCAATCTGATGTTCATACTGTACAGTTCAGCTCGTCCAAAGGTCCAGGTCCGCAATTTGACCGTAAGTAGGCCACTGCTGCTTGTGAAATATATATTATGTGCTGGAGGTGAGAGCACTTACCAGAGCAGGAGCCCAATAAGATGTTTTATCCACACTGAAAAACAGTGTTATTCATTTATTTTAATCACAGTTTTGATTTAAAAATCACCATTTGCTTTGTCTTTAACCGCCATATAAAGGTCAACAGAAAACTGAGTCCTCATTTCATATTGTGTGTTTATGTTGGCAGATTGAAGCACAAGAAGTGTTGTTGGTGATCCCAGAACAGGGTCTTGTATTTCCTGCTGCAGAGTACATCCGAGATGCAGTGTTCAGATCCTGCCTGATGACAGAAAGCAATGTAATAGTTGTTATTGAGGGAACAAATGTTCATCATATAGATTTTACAGTTGCACAGGTGAGGTGGACATGTCTTGTGGTTTTAGTTTCATGTAATCTTGACCACTGATGGAATTCTGTTCATTGTCTAATTGGAAGTTTAATCCATTATCAGTTCTTGGAAATGTTTATCTTGCAAATGAATTGCATTTTTAAATATCTTCTAATGCAGCTCCTCTAAGTCATAAAATAAGCTAATGTTTTATGAACCAAAATATTTCTCAATGTTATTTCTTTGCAAAATTGCTGATATTTAATTTCTGATTGTAAATGGCATAATGATTTTCTCACTTTAAGCAACTTAACATAAAAGGATGAATTCATTCTGAAGTATCTCTTTGTGGCAGAACATGGCAATGCTTGTGGATGACTTAGAGATCAAGAATCAGAAGATTATCTTCTGGAATTGGAAGCATAGTGCAGAGGTGGTGTGTCGGGGTATAGATGCCAAATTGTCAAAATATTTTTATTATGAAGGAAATATGGAGAGCTTGTTGCAAGGTGAGAGGCAATGAATTTTATGTACATCCAGTCTGCTGTTATTTCCTGTCTTAGACAATGTATGTGTTAAAAGAAATTTCACACAATTTGTTCTGCTGACAGTTTTTGTCTTGTCTTTGCTTCTGTTTTGTGAAAGTTTCTTGTTGCATTGCACATTAGAGTCCAATAGGTTGTTAAAATTCTAAGTATAGTTTATTCCATTAACATGAATTGTATGCTAGAGGACATTTTCTAATGTTGTCATCGTCTGTTCTCAGGACTGACTGCTGAAAGGGGCCATAATGGTACAGGTGACAGCACAAATGAAACTAACAGCACATCCTTAGTAACTGAACCAAGTGTGTGATATAACACTGGAGCTTTTTAGAAATCGGGTGAAATTTATTGAACGTTTCCAGCCACATTTGTGCCGTGATTTTTGCACAGTACAAGTAAGGACACCAGAGCTGCATTTAACAAGTGTCAACAGAGAAATGTTTGAAAACAATTTTGTACTTACATATTTTATGTTTTGTAATTTGTACATACAGTGGAATCTTCTTTTAATATCCCTCAATTTAAGGGTTCCCCCCCCCCCCCATTTAAGATTCAGTTTTAATGATCTCTTGCCAATTTTAGTTAAAGACTGTAATCTTGAGACTTTCGGGGTGAGGAAGTGGGGTGAAGGAGGAAAGACAGCGTCTGTCTTTATCGCTTCTGACTTCCTGTATTCCTTGCAAGTCTTAAAATTACAGTCGCGCACCGTATCTTGGTGTTAATTTTCTGTTTACAATTTTTGTCAGTTAAATTCTCCCAAAAGAATCCTATGTGGAGGTTTAACTGAAATGTGTTTGTTGTGCTGTGATATGGACATATTTATTTGGAGCCACAAACTTACATTAATTTACCCAGCATATTGTGTAAGGGGGTGATGTCAGTATCCATTTACAAAAGAGTATAATTTTTTATTTATCTAATTCTCATTGAGTACAGTGTTTTAACTGTGCACTTGGAAAGATATGCATTTTCAAATTGTAGTTTGTTTCATATGCAATTATGTAAGCTAATTTTTCATGATCATTTTGTTCAAGTTGTATTAATCCCTTTTAATGAGAATTCATTCTCTACTGTTTCTTTTAATAACTTCTGAATTTATACATGTAGGAAGGTAGGAAGTTTTCACATGCTCTTCAATTGTCGGTACAAGTTTGAGCTGCAATTATAAGAACAAAACAAATTTGAGAGGAACTGCCACATGCTATTTTATTCCTATGATAAGAGTGGTTAAGTAAGAATATATTGAATTCTTCATCCATACACACAATTTTAACCAGTTATGACAGATGCTTTCTACTGTAGTACAGTATGCTGTGTACTTAAAGCATTTATTGTCCAACTTGTAGTTGAAACATCCATGTTCCATTTTCAGACAAAAAGAAAAGGTTTACAGGTACAGTGGAGTTTCTCAGGTACTTTACATGATTTGTAATAATTTATAGATGTATCCACTGACTAGCAGCTTTGAAGTATTTTCATCTGAAACTGATTATAAGTCTGTATATTTGCATAATACTTGTACATTTTTATTTTAGGTCATTCAGGAACTCAATGAAGATATCCATTTATACAATACTTAATCTGGATTGACCACGTATCCTTTTAATGATGTGTATGGTTAGTTCACAGTAGAATTGAAGCTTCGTTGTAAGTAATTTGTACCTGGCCTAATGAGCATGTATGGTACAGTGAAAGTTATAGAATTTTATTGTTAGGGAGCTATGGTAGCATTATAGAAAGTGTAAAGAAAAGTTTTATGTGCAGTGATCCACTGTTTTAAAGTTAATACACAGATGTTAATTTAGCTTTCATGTAGTCTGTTATTGGTGTATTAAGGTTGTGTTAATGTTACTGTTTTAGATTTGTGTTCCAAATTACAATTATGTCCGTCATATTGATGCTATTTACATGCACTTCTCTGCTTATTTATTGGAAACTTGAGAAATAATATTTTAAACACGAAGTCTTTTTAATAAGCATATGCTTAAAATCCAATGCTTATTTATTCTTGGTGATTTTTTTTAATTTATCTGTCTCTCTTTTTAAACACGAAGTCTTTTTATTAAGCATATGTTTAAAATCCAATGCTTATTTATTCTTGTTGATTTTTTTTAATTTATCTGTCTCTCTACTTGATGTAGATACAGTTCTTTACAAATTTTCTATAGATCTTGGAGTGTTCTCCAAGAATTAGGATCCATTTGGAATTGCTGATGACAAAACTTGTTTTCCATGTTATAATAAATTGTTGTTTAACTTGTGCATTTTTATACAGTAATGTACTTTTTATTCCAGAACAAAGCTCCTCTATAATTAAAGGAAAGTCTGGAGAGAGCCTGCTATATTTTATTCTACACATTATATTAATAAAGTAATTTTATACCAAAGAAATCATGATGATGAATACTTTCATGCAATGCGGCTAAACAGGGTTATGTGTGTTAACACTCAGAAATTTTAAACAGCGTAGTTTTCTGAAGTTTTGAATGAGTGGTTGTACACCTCTGTTGGTGCTTCCATTCACTCACAGATTCAATTACTAGATAGCACAAAATTTTGTGCAAAGATTTTATAGGTGTTCTGTATTCATTTTGTATGTGCCATAAGGTTTTTATTGACATCTATGCTCATGTAATTGTTATGAAGAAGCCTCAGTCTCTCAAAAATCGGTTTAAAATTTTGCTGTGCCTAATGTATTAGAACCGCCACTGTGGTCTAGCGGTCAGAACGCTGGGCTTGAAATCCTGGGGTCCCGGGTTCGATTCCCGGTGGTGCCCGGATTTATAACTTGTGTTGGGCAAGGCCATGGTGCAGGTATCACGGAGTTTTCCTCCGGGGCTTCCCCGGTTTCTCCGTGGCATCCCAACAATTACTCCATTTTCTTCATCATTTGACATTAAGCACACAGAAGAAGGCAATGGCAAACCACTGCTGGATCATTTGCCTAGGAAACATATGAACAGGTCCCTATCAGAGGGATCTTGTTCATAATGTCACCAGGGGTCGGCTCCGACCCGATGGTACAAACAAAATGTATTAGAATAGTTATTGTGATATATATTGTAGTAAAACTTACTGATTACAGTAAAACAGTGTGCAGCTGCTGCTGGATTCACCTAAGTGCAGCAAAGTGTTAAGACAACTTACAGTCACAGGTAGTGCTTTGATCTGGGGCATATAGTCTTCTGTTGTAGTCATCTGAGTTATATTTATTAAACTTTTGCTGGAGAGATAATTCATTTTTCTATGTTTTCCAAATTGCAGTGAATTAGGTGACATTCGAATTGTTATAGGTATTTGATATTTGGCAGCTTATAAGTATTTGTTTATTTTCCAAATGGTAATTGATATTTGAACTTTAAATAGACAGTGTTATTTATTATGCAAGTATGTATACATATTATAAGTAATGTTATATGAATATTATAATATTATAATTTTTAATGAAAGAACATTACATTTGAGCAGAGTTACATGAACATCAAGTCGGTTAACAATTTGCATCATGTCAGATCTGCTCAAAACTTGTTCTCACACAGTTTTTATTCCTGTCATGTTCACACACTTAGTGTAAAATTTTGTTTTTGTTGTTGCTGTTATTTCATGGCTTAATCTTTGCTGATGGGCACAATGTTGAGCTGAACATAAAAATTGCTATATAAAGATTTTTAGTTGATTATTAATTAAAACATTAGTGTTTTATATTGTCAGTTGTTTTATCATGATGACTCATAAAGTGAGAGAAACGTTTGCATTCTGAAACTGTAGAAACATCAGAATATTTTTATAAGATTACAGCAGTTTATAAAAAGTTGACCTAGCAGTACTTAATTGCACATGGATCTATCCATGTTAGAGAAAAGTGTTGAAACAATTTTTCAACCATTTTATGTACTGTAATTATAGAATTTGATGTACTAAGATGGAAATTCAGGGATACTAATGTGACTATTAGTACTGGCTTCCAGAGAATTGTGAGATTTCATATTCTTATGGCAACAGGAATGAAGATGGCTGTCTTCTAGGATGTTGTGTTGTGTAATGTGTGTTAGATATTGACTGACATTTCTGATGAGCTTACTGCCTCCATTGTTAGGGCACCCTGATGGAGGCGGTAAGCTCTTTGAAACATCAGTAAAAATTCTAGTTTAAGGCATTCAAAAACGTAATGAGCAAAACAAGAATTTGGTAGTAATTTTTTCAAATCTGTTTTAATTTTGTATTAATTCTGCCTTTTTTATTATCAACTGAACTTGAATTTGTAATAGGATTTCTCATTTACCTCTCCATATTGATAAAAACTGTTGTTGTTTTTTTCATTATAAACAGTGATGTTATTCAGGACCATTTCTGTACGCACTGCACAGCTAAATAAACGCAATAAGACATCATGCAGAAGTTAAAGCCCTTGGATTCAGACACACACATTACACATGAATAAAACCAGTGTGTTGCTATTTTTCATCTGAAACTCTTCAATATTGTTGTTTTCAAATTTGACTTTGTTTGCTACCTTATGTTGTTAGAACCAAAAATGGAAAAAAAGAGAAAATTTTCATCGCTATCCTTATTATTCTATTTCATATTCTTCAGTATTTTTCCTTCCTTAATCATCATCATTTCTTGCTGTTGGCAGTGTGATTTTTATACTTGTTAAACTTGTATATGAAATATATTCTGCCTGTGAAATGAGCAGTACTTAAATGATGCAATGTGCAGTTTAGTGTGAATCAACTTCTGTGTCGAATAATTAAAAGAAATCTGTATATGTATGTCAGCTTGAGTACTGATTCTCCTCTCCATCATAGTACGCACAGTGTTAACACTTTTGATTGTACTACAGACTGGGTGACTGGGGTTCAATTCCTGACAGGGCACAACTTTTCTCTTCACCACCGTGTCTGGACCGACTCTGGGACCCTTGGGTACTCTTGGGTCCTTTACTCACGGGTAAAGCAACCAGGGCATGAAACCAGCCAGTCACCTTCATCTAGTGCTGAGATTAAGAATGTGTGGAGCTATTCCTTCACCCCCCATACATCTTTGTGCCATCTTGCTTTAATTTGGCTCCAGGGATGACTTTTTACCTTTGCAATATTCAGGATTTACCCAATTCAAATTGATCTGTGTTCTGGACAGGTAAGTTAATATTATTATGTGCATTGCCCATAATTGAGAAATGGCAGACATGTTAATATTTCGTTTTTTCTTCAGGTAGTGACAGAATTAAGAAATCTCTGAAGGCATTACCAAAAACCAGAAACTGTAACTAGCTGCTGAAATTTGGTAATTCATATGCAGAACCACTCCAGCAGTGCAACTAATGCTGGACACATTACTAGGAAGATGGACCTCTGGTATGTTTGTTTCGCTGCTTTCATCACCACCTATGATCTGAGCAAAAGGACGCCTTTGGAAGGTTGGTGTAGTCCAGAGAGTACACCTTCCCAATCTTGTTGATAAAACTTACCTTGCATGCATGTAGCAACTACCATAGAGTTGTGTTAGGATTTTGAATTGTTTAATGTATGATAGTATAATTTAGACTATTTTATGGGCACTTTAAAAGTTCCTTTCAACTCTTGTTGACCACATTCACTTTAGGATAATGTTTTTAAGTTGCAAAAAACATTAAGCAACATGGAATCTAATGTTGTCACAATGTAAGTTCTTTAGTTGCTTGGTTTGTCAATAAGTTTCGCGTAATTTATTGAAATCAAAGGCTCGTTACTGTTCACTGGGGCGTATCGCAATCCAGATGGATCCAGTTAACGTCCTCACTTTTCCGTTGCTTATGCCGTGCCACGGAGCGAGCTGTTAACCCCCAAACCCAACCCCATAGCAGGCGGAACACTCTTCTGCCGTCTTCGACTCCATTCTGAAGCCGTTCTCTTTCACCAGCGAGCTGAGAACGGGGCATAATAGGCTTACGCGTCTGTGTGTTGACAAAATCGAGATAATTATTCGGTTTGACGTTGCGCCAATATTGGGTTTCCGCCACAGAACCCTCATATAAACTGCAATACTTAGAACTGAGGTCGCAATGGAAAAATTTGTCACAAGTCAGCCTTCAAAACGCAGTCGATAAATCAATAAGATTTGAAGTTCTCACAGCGGTGAAGTTGACGTTGGTCTTCTGGGTTGTAATGCCGTGTAGACGTGTAAGTAGATACTTTCCGAAATATTCTGCTTCCGACTTCAGGGCTTCAGTAGTATGTTTCTCTGAAACGTTGGTATCTACCTACAAATCTACACGACACCTAGACCCAGAAGACTACTTCGACATAATGGCCAGTAATGTCGTAATGGCTTGTAATCAGCACAACCAAGGTATTACGACACCCGACCGTAGAATCTTATTTTGAACAAAAGTACGATAAACTTTACCAACAGACGTGTGGCATCATCGCCAAAAACAGGCAGAGTATAGACGTATACAACTGCAAACGGAGTAAATAGCTTAAGAGAAGACACGCAGAAGGACATATTAGCGCGGCACTCCTCCACCTTAATTAACAGCTACATAGGGTTCAAGTATTTTCGAACACCTCAGCAGATACAAACATAAATTGTATAGAACTAACCGATGTACTATCAGTGTCAAAGGAAGTCCGTTTAAAACCATATTTAACTTAACTTTACCAAATTACAATGTCTACAGACTGATGGAACCCTACAGTGCGCTGAATGGTGAATCTAGTAAAAAGCTACCTAAGGTCTGTACAAATAAACATCAGGAAATTGAAAATCATTTAAACTAACTCCGTGGAGCAAAATGTTTCTTGAGACCATAACAGTCGCTCAGCTGGTCAAGATATTCCCTTTGTTTATGGAACTCAGGAACTCGAAGTTTCAGGACTGATTACAACAGTCCATCACTGGACTATATCCAAAAATGAGTCCATTCTAGTCCATAGACTCACACAAGTCATGTGTTCTCTTGACGCGATAAAAGTCTGTTTACCCGAATACAATTCTGTGCTTGAGTGCTGGACTAATGTGCAGCTGCCTTGGAATTCTGGTCAAACCAGAAACGTTATTGTTTCATGCAGCCGTCATATTATTTCACATTGAACAGATTTCAAAGATCTATTACTATTATTATAGGCCTGCATCATCTCAGGGCCCTATAGGCTATAAAATAGGTCTAATGACTCTTCCATCCCCCAAGTTAGTGCGACTTCCATGCTCATATTACAGAGTGTAGGCTCCACTACCACATTTAATCAAAACACGTTCAGCGGTTCTGGAGCTGATACTTGCGGACAGACACGATCAGCCCTATTTCGTGCTTAGCGTGCAAAGAACGCATAACATCCCACTGATGATTGTTGGGTGATTGTTAAGAGCTTACATTTAAATGTACTTATGCATATCTTTCCACCATTTAGTTTTGTTATCATGTTAACCCTAATATCAGTGAAGTTCTGATCAGTATAAATAATATATGATGTGAAGCTTTCACGGCGGCTTTCGTTAATAAAGTCTTCTCGGGCTATCAGCCGTGTTAGATGGTGATTAATCGCCGACGTTTCGAGGACCATCTCTGTCCTCATTCTCAAGGCTGTTTACGCCACACATTCCCCCACCAAACGCCGCGCGGAGACCGGCAAGAGTCTCGGACTTTTAAACGATTATAGTTCGCACTACGAGAAACACAGTAAACAGCCTTGAGAATGAGGACAGAGATGGTCCTCGAAACGTCGGCGATTAATCACCATCTAACACGGCTGATAGCCCGAGAAAACTTTATTAGTATAAATAATGCCAGGAGTATAATAGCACGATGAACTGAATCGCCTATAATTGAAAGAGACTGAACAAATATTTGTTGTTTTTGTGGGCTTCAGTGCCCGTATATATGCCACTGAGATGAGGCCAAAACCGACAGAGGTTACAGTGTTTGTATTACAATACTTTTTTAGATATGAGTAATTCTCTCTGGTGACATCGAGTTTATTACAGCAGTGCATCACGGGTTAATGGTTGTTGGTAAATAAGCGTATGTTAATTTAAATTTACATAAAATGATTTACAGCCTTTAAATTATGTTTGATGTATACACAACTATTTTACACTTAAAATGAACGTGGGTGGTTATAATTAGATTTTAATGAGTGTCGCAACCTTATATAAGAGCAAAAAATTAAAATTGTCTCAGTTTAAATATGTTTAAGTTCTGATGTGCAATGTACGACTTACCCTTCTGTGGAGACAACACTATTACTATGATTTAAAAGTAAGTTGTGTAATGCGTAGTAAGAAATTGAATTAAATGGCATTATAATATAAAGAAGGATTAAAGTAACTTTGCAGGCAATAATAGAAATGTGAAATTATAAGTACATTCTCATCTGAACCCGTAAGTACACTGATATAATCATACTTTGAAGTATATCTTTACAGTACGCTGACAAGTTACTTACGCCACTTTTTCTCGGTGTTTTGTATAATTACATTATTCGCAGATAGATGTCTGTAGCTGCAAGCACGGCAAATAAAGAGCGTGAGATTTGAACAGAGGCCGTAGAACTCTGGAACTGACAACGACCAAGGTATATTTTATCGACTCTTCATTGATTATGTTTTATTACAAGTGTTTATTTGTTTGAATAATGCCATCACAAGACACAATGTTATGGGCATTTGCTTCTTCTATTTCTGTATAAATGAGTTTTTGAAACTCTGTGCTTGACTTAACTGGTGAGACAACTTTATTAACTTGCTATCTTTTCTTAAAAATATTGCTGTTTTTAAATATTGATTGCTTTACACATATTTAATTTCACTTTGTGTAATCAGTTGCAATTTTCGTACTAAATGTTATCAGTGCTTGAAAGTGTAATTGGTAGAACTTCCAAGAAAATTAATCATATCTCCATTTCGAATATATGTTGGTTACAGGTACATAGAATAATAATTTATTTTAATTCCAGTGTGAAAATATAATCTATAAATTTCCTTTGCAAGATATTCAGTTATTAACTGTAAATAGTGCATATAGTTACCTTAGTTATATAAAGGGTTAACTGAGTTTAGGTGTAATAAGTTTTAGCTTGGTTTTTTCTTACACCCTGCTTGTTTAAACTGTAAGTGCTTGACACAGTTTTCTTTGTGTGTGTTGTGTCATAAAGTCAGGTTCCATAGGTCACTGAACATTATCTTCTGTTTAGAAGGGCAGGATCCATTGCAAAGTCATAAAAACAACCTTCTTTTCCACAGCAACAAATACTGTGACATCTGGAATTCACATAGAAGTGTCTGAGATGTGCACAAAAGAGTTTGTGCACAGGCGATTTCCATTCACCAGATGGCTCCCACAGTATAATTTCTCTACTTTAGTTCAAGACATGCTTGCTGGGTTGACTGTTTCACTGACTTTAATTCCACAGTCAATTGCGTATGCTGAAATTGCTGGTCTACAACCACAGGTATACATACTACTTTTGTGCAGCTTCAGAATAGCATTTTATAAATACACTCTTCGGGATCAAGTGAAAAGTATCTTTGTTTTTATTTTCCCTTCCTATCAATAGAATTCACTTGTAAGGGTTTAAATACTGCATAGTAATAGACATTTTTATTTGGAATTAGAGCAGTTTTTTTGTTATTACAGTTTATAGTTTGCTAGCAATAGCATATGAATTGCATGTGTCCAAGGAAGACTTTGAAGAGAGATTATAAATAAACAGAGAATTATTGTAAAGAACATTATTTTGAATACTGAAAATTAAAAACATAGCCATGGTATGAATGAATGTTTTGATGTTATGTTTGAAAATTATTGTTGTTGTTGTTCCTTGGCTCTACAACCCGTTTGTGGGTCTTTGCCGTCCCCTATTCGGGGGTTTCCTAGTCTTTGAAGTGTTCGTTTGTGAGCAGTTGGTGACCAGCTCACTGACTGCACAATTTCTACTCAATCCTGATTTGACTGCCAGAGCCATCTAGCAATGAATCAGGAGACTTGGGGGAGAAATGGCCGCTGAATTTTGCCTACAAAACATCTCGTTCATGCTTGTAAGGTTATTTTACATATGCTAAATCTACGACATGGGACCACCAGCTTTACTTCCCCTCTGAAGGAAGTAGTGCTACGGATTTTTATCACCCTTAAAAATCCATCGACCGAGGGCGACATTGAAAATTATTACCACGGAAAATTTTCACAATGACATGTCACTGCATAATTAACGTCTGCTGGATTATAGTCCTTCTTGAGATGCTAATAACCACTTAGCTACTCAATAAATTCCCTGCCTTTTATGGAACCCAAAGGTTTATTACTGTGTTTACAATATCCTACCAAACCCAAACCCTCTGTAACTTTTTGTAACCTGCTAGTTTCTTGCTATGAGGAGTTGTTTACTCTTCATCTAACTTCTAAGCTGTGGGCTGTCTATGACTTCTTAAGTACAGTTGCAGTTGCCATCTATATCTGGAGGCCTTCTCCTCAATCCACAGCTGATGACTTACTAATATTTTAAATAACATACTTTAAATTATTTATAATTCTTTAGCAATTTTATTAGGAATAGCTAAATTATAACACTCTGGAAGAAAATTATGCGTGTGTGTGCAAACACAGAACTACACAATCAATTTGCAGTCAGACATTTGATGTAACATAAATTATCTGTCTTCAGTTTATTAAGACAGAACTCTGAACATATATTGTACATCAGGGTGCCACCATCAAATATGAATGTTTGGTATCCTTAACAATCAAAGTGTGAAAACCATTGTCTTAGGACATTCAGATCTCTATTTACATTTATCTGAAGATCAAATTGATTGATGATTAATGACTGCTTTGTTGCAGTATGGGCTTTTCTCTTCATTTATGAGCTGCTTTGTTTATATATTCCTGGGAAGCTGCAAGGATATTACCATTGGTCCAACAGCCATGATGGGTATCATGACAAATCCTTTTGTTGTTCAGAATGATAATCCAGACTTTGCAGTTCTATTGTGTTTCCTCACAGGGTGTGTTATGGTCTTGGTGGGATTATTAAGACTTGGTAAGTTTAAATGAACAAATTCTGGTATGAGTATAACTTCAAAGTATAAAGACTTTATATTTGTAACTTTGTATTAATTTGTAATTTTATCTTCAGTAACAATGAAGTTATTGTGGATACAATTTGTATGGGTATATTGTAATAAGTGTTCAACAAATTTCCAAAATATGGCAGAAACTATTTTTTATTACTGTCAGTTTTAAATTGTACATTTAGAAATGGTGTTTGTAACCTGGCATACTAATTTTTAAACAACTCTGACACACAGCTGTGCTACTAAAAGAAGGAAATACATTTCACCCCTCACACCCAAGAAAAGAATGTCCTAAAAACCTAGTTTTAGTTGGATAACAGGTTACGTAAAAAATAAAAATTCCTGTGTTTATGAGTTTCTGTTTTTCTGTCAGGTTTTCTGGTGGAGTTCATATCACTTCCAGTCACTGCTGGTTTTATATCAGCTGCAGCCATCACAATTGCTTCATCTCAGCTGAAGGGCCTGTTTGGAATTAAAGGGAGTGGACATAGTTTTGTGGAGTCGTGGGCGAATCTATTTAATAATATACAGGATACCAGGCTTGGAGACATGACGCTGGGTGTCTGCACTATACTTCTTCTGCTGATTGGACGAGTATACTATCTGATATAAACTGTTTATTTTAAGATATTTCTGCAGTATAATTTTGTGTCCTGTACTCTAAATTTAAAGATTAATTTTAAAAGTTTTGTATAAACATCAATATTAATTTGTTAATTAAATTTGCTAATTCAATCTATACTTTACTAGACCTCTAAACTTTGAATTTGTATGTTTAATACCACAGATAGAATGTACATCATACAAAATACTCATAATATTATCTTCAATATTGTATTACTATAATTTTGTTTCAGGAATGTCAGATTGTCTCATTTGAAACTAATCATTCTGGTGATAAGATCTGTTTATGCTGGATTTAAATTTATACAGACTGTACTTAGGTTGTGTACAGAAAATTAAAAGCTTTCCTCAAATTTGGCAGAAGTGGATTGAGGTTTTATTTTCATAAAATAAATATATTATGTTTTGTTTTTTGTGTATACAGAAATTGAAAGACTTTGATGGTGGGCGCAAAAATTCTTCTGCAGTACACAGACTTATAGGAAAGATGCTGTGGATGATTTCAATATCACGGAATTCTATTGTTGTCATCATTGGTATGATTCTGGCCTACATGTTTGAAAGCAAAGGATTCAAGCCCTTCAAAATAACAGGTATGGAATTCAACCGTTGTGACACTGTTATGTTTTCCGTTGGTCCTTCAGTGTATAAGGAGTCATTACAGAGGTAATTCATTTCATCTTGGTGCAGGTCAAAGGCTATTCCAGGAATTTCACAAAAGTCCTTCATTGTTTATAGCATTTATGTCTACAATTGAAACAAACAACAGATACACTGCTTATAATAGAGTTTGTTTGTAACCTAGAAGAAAATAAAGTGTCTGTCTAATATATATTTCATTTAGTTTGAGAAAGCGTAGTATCTGTGGTGAACATTCTGCACACTACTTGAAATATCACAATCTTATTAACCTTAAGCTTAAGACATTTACATCTGATATATTGCAAAATTTTTCTCACATGGCAGGTACAGTCATTGTCGAAATCCCACAGCTTTTAATGACTTATTTCATTCAGGTGAGATTGAAGAAGGATTACCACCATTTGGACTTCCTCCATTCAGTACAGTCTCGCACAACCAAACCCTCAACTTCGACGATATGGCTAGCACGTTTGGAACTTCCCTATTCAGCATACCTTTCATATCATTCTTGGAGACTGTTGCCACAGCCAAGTCTTTCTGTGAGTATCTTGCCAGCAGACCACATTCATAGTAAGAGAATGTGATGGAATTTTGACATGCGTGATAAGTTAAAAAGTGTGTTTGCTAGGCTATCTGGGTTATGGATGACAGTAAGTTGAAGAATTGTTATGTACAGATTCGTTTTCCTTCATGTAAAATGTGCTGACATAGGTAGAACTGAGGTTGTTTGCAGTCATGTTTGAAATCTTGTCCACCTGATCATCCCACCTGTCCATATTGGCTTCAGTGCTGTGGTTTGATGCTGACCACTCACCCCATCTAGTGCCGAGGTCAAGAAAGAGTAGGAGCTATACCTTCACTCCCCCCAAGCGCCTGCGTGGCCTGTAGTGGGACAGGTTTACTTTACTTTGCTGTGGTTTGAATGGTGTTGGAAATAAGTTTTGATAACTAAAATAAATATCTGTTTTTTACTCTTAACTATTTCACTGAAACACCTTGCATAATTTAGAATGTTCCGTGCTATTTCTTTGAAGTTTATTCAGTATTAATTTTGTTATTTACAGAATTGGCCTTTAGGCTGCTAGAGAAGATCTGATGGGCTTCAAGTTTCTTACCACTGGTCTAAATGTGTTACATCCCAAGCTTCTTGTTTGTGCTCTGCATTCCTGAAACTTATGTTATATCTTATCTCACACAGTTTTTAATGTCCATAACAAGAAGTACACTTTCTATAAATGACAGCGGATAAAAGGGAATTCATATAAATTGTTAAGAAGGTAGAGTGCTTTTCTTTCTAACCAGTTTATTTTTGTTGTAGCTACGGGTAAAGCAGTGGATGCCTCCCAAGAGTTGTATGCATTGGGTTTCTGTAACATCATGAGCTCATTTGTGCGTTCTTTCCCACTTTCTGGATCTTTCTCTCGTACGGCTGTGAACAATGGATCGGGCGTCAAAACTCCCCTCGGTGGTCTGATCACTGGTAAAAAAATGGAACTATTGACTTTCCTTCATTATGGTAATAACATGAGCAGATGAAATGGTAAAATAACAATTCTGTTTTTAATAAATCTGTTATGAAATTAATGTTAGGTTGTGAAGGAGTAAACTGGATTTATCTACCTAAGGCCCAGTGGCAGATTCTGCTGAACACATTAATCGACATTTAGGTTTCATAATAGGTGGAGCCTTTCTTACTAGCTGATTGACTATTGGCTTTATAAGCAGGATTATGTTTTGTCAAATTAGTTAATTACCAGTTAATTTTCCACAAATATGAAAAATCTCCAAATTGTTAGGATTTCATAGTGTTTGTTAAATTTCCTAGACTATCTGATATTTGCTTGCTCCATTGTCCCTGTAAGCACTTGCTCCATTAAACACTTATTTTTTATTTATTTATATGAATATATTTACATGGTTTTATCATTGACTAATTTTTGTTTCTTAGTACTTGCTATAATCTAATATGCATTATTAAGAAGTAGCCGACCATATTAATGAAATCATCAGCAATAAATTAGATGCATTTCTTCAAAACACATAAATAAACTTCACCAAATGTAAGAAGATAAAACTAAATAAATATTTAACAGAAAGTTTTGAATGATTGTGTTTCAGGTGCTATGGTCTTAATGGCACTGGGTCTTCTCACCTCCACTTTTGCGTACATTCCAAAGGCAACTCTTGCAGGTGTTATCATCAGCGCTGTCTTGTCCATAGTGGAGTTAGAAATGGTCCCTTTACTTTGGCAGACAAAGAGTATGTTTTTACATGTATTGATGTAATAAGCAAACAAAATGCCCTCAAATAGTTAAAAAACAGTTTTAAATTACATCTAATTCATTGTATATGTTAATGATTTGGAACATGCATTTGAACATACTTCTTAAGTTCTTATCTATAGTCACAGTATATGTAATATGCTTTAACTGGATGAAGAATTAATTTTTTCACTTTGAATCTGCAATATAGTAGGAACCAAATGACCTATTCTAAATGTCACACATGGCTTTTATTTATTGTGGGACATGCTGTTATTTCGTACTTTTGCTCATTTTCTATGGTGTTTAAATTTGTTACAAAAATTGTGCTTATTAACATGTAGCATTGTTTCAGGGATTGACCTTATTCCGATGGCAGTCACATTCATAGCATGCTTGGGAATTGGACTTGACTATGGTATGCTTCTTGGTATTGGTGTCAATCTGGTGTTCATACTGTACAGTGCAGCCCGTCCAGAGGTTCAGGTCCGCAATTTGACCGTAAGTAGGCCCATATTACTTGTAAAATATATATTACGTATCTGGAGATAGAAGGATTTACCAGAGCAGGAGTCAACAAAGTCTGTAATGGAGGAATAAGAACAGATATTTTGTTGATACTGTGAACTAATCTGTCAAAGAGATGAGAACAGATTGGTGGAAAATGTGAAATATGACATGTAAGTCCAAAATATGCTTGACAAAAGTATGGTTTTTAATAACTAATCCTACCAAAATTATGTTTTAATTTACTCCACATCCTACTTACTAGGATCTAAGGGATGCACGTATCTGTGTATTTGTCCGTCCGTCCACCCATCAACCTACTCTTTTATTATTGTTGTTTGGCATGGTTTTAGAAAACGGGTGATTATTCTAGTGTTCTTTCAATCGTTTCCAGTTACTCAAATTGTGCTGTACACAGCGACATATTGACCCTTATTTAGTATGCAATCACAAAGTTTTAAAGTCGTCTATATATTTTTTCTTTAATATTAAGCAACAAATTATATTTTATATAACTTCAATAAATACTATTCTCATCTGGGGGTTTATTGCCTACAAAACTCTGTATACCATTTTCATTTTGGCAGATTGAATCACGGAAGGTGTTGTTGGTGATCCCAGAACAGGGTCTTGTATTTCCTGCTGCAGAGTACATCCGAGATGCAGTGTTCAGATCCTGCCTGATGACAGAAAGCAATGTAATAGTTGTTGTTGAGGGATCAAATATTCATCAAATAGATTCTACGGTTGCAAAAGTGAGTTGTTGGATTTGTTAGTTTTCAGTTAAATAACTCTCATGTTAATATCTTGTTATGCAGTTTCTGTAAGTTATAGAACAAGAAAAGAGCGTGTCAACCAAAATATATCTCAATGAGATTTAATTTTAGTAATAGTGGAAGTTATATCACAAAATTATATTTCCTTATGTTCTAATTTTAAACTTTAAACTCTGATCTCATTAAACCGCATAGAAATAAGGATGAATTGATGTCAAATATGTCTTTGTCACAGAACATGACAATGCTTGTGAATGACTTGAAGATCAGGAACCAGAAGATTGTCTTCTGGAACTGGAAGCATAGTGCGGAGGTGGTGTGTCGGGGTATAGATGAAAAAATGTCAAAATATTTCAGTTATGAAGACAGTCTGGAGAGCTTGCTGCAAGGTGAGAGGCAATGAACTTTATCTTCATCGCAAGGAATGTTGTCCTTTCATCACTTTAAGAACTCTTTCCTTTAAGTGTTATTAAAAATCATATCTACTTTTACTTGATGTAAGTTAGTGTTGAAATATTTTTAAAACTGAACTTCAACACTGACTTATATCGAATGAAATTGTTTTAATTTGCTTTTATCCTTTCAGCCAAAGAAAGTCCATTTTCATTAAATAGCGTCATTGAGCAGACTCCTTTTCCAAAAGCTAATGGATGTTCACAAGAACCTCCCATTGCTTTCAGTCCTGAACTAAATAAATCCAGTTCTCCTTCTTTACATTTTTTATTTTTAGATTAATTTGAATATGGACTCGCCTTCCAACTACACCCAGGTCTCTCTTTCTTACAGGTGCTTATAGTATTTTCAGGGCATTGTTTTTTATTGCAGTTATATAAATTGTGTGTTGCAAGATGCGGATGAGTAGCGCAACTTGTAATTTTGTCATTGTGTGTCCACAGAAGTGGCTACTGAAAGTTGGCTTGCTGCCAGAGACAATAACACAAATGGAACGCAGAAGACTTTCTTAAATAACGAATCTAATGTGTGATAAATTACGGGTGTTTATTGGAAATGCCATTGAACGTTAAGGGAAGATTTCTACCACATTGCTGAAGATGCGTAGTGTTATTAGTTATTCACGTCACTTTTTTTTTACATAAACATTCAAGGGGGATAAATATTTCTGCATCTAACAAGTGTGACAATTTGAAACTATATTATGTGTTTTGTAACATGTAAATATAGTACAGTCCTCATTTAAAGTTCCTAAATGTAAGGATTTGTTATTTTTTAAGTCCCATTTCCATGACCTCATAAAGTATCAGGTTCCCCCCACAAGTTGATTGTGAGTTTTAATTTGTTTTTAGACAATACTCTCAAAAGATAAAGAAAAAATAGTGAGTAATGTCTGAACTGGCAAAGGGGTTAATTAATTGCACGTTGATGATCAATGTCGTCATGAATTTTTTTTAGGATAGTTTAGCAGTATTTATGCCGTACAGGGGAATGCTTTTCCCAAATAACTCTTTAAATAGTTAAATAAATAAATAAAAATATACTTATGATGCACTGTGCATTGCTACTTATATTGCCCATGAAATGCAGCCCACAATGAAAACACAAACAGAAGAAATGTATACTGAATTTCTCGCGATGTAGTTGTTATCACTCATATTGTGTATATGATAGGTTCCGAGTGCGAATTTCGGCCTGAGACTACGAGACCGACTGAAGTTTATTCATAACGTACAAGCAAATGCCTTAAACGACCATTTCCTTCAAACATTTCCACTTAATCATTCATAATAATTTAGACAGTAGACGCCATCTTATCAATCCAGTTGAAAAGTGTCGTTAAATACAACAAGCAGCAAATAACGAACTAAAAATTGAATCATTACAATCTTTTTCTACTTCAACTATTTATTCTTTGTTCAACCTATTTGCAGTGTAGCACAAAGGAATTTGTAACTCCTTTTACCATGGAACATTTCGTCCGATTGTCTTTTGTGGAAAACAAACAATGTATGTATGAACGTTGTATAATTCCGAATCATGGCATGTTCTGCGTAACTAGGTAATATAAAACCAAATAAAAAGGCGTCCCAGGGACTCTATTGGTAGCAACAGAAAACAACATCCTCAAACTTATGAATTACCCGGAAGTATTCCTTACATGTCAGCGTTGAGCTACAGACATGAATCATGCGCTGGTAACCTTATCAAACGTCACGTGTCTCGAAGCTTAAACGTGTTATTTCATTTGGCGAGACAAGGTTTTGTAAAATTGGTGAGAATGAATGAATGAATTGGCTTCCTAGATTTCACTAACCTATCAGCTGTGGGTGACCTGTACAAAGCACGAAGTTCCAGCTACTGCCCCAAACGACTCAATACTTAGATTTTAAGTTCGCACGGCGGTCAGTATGAAGATTATCGTCTTCTGGGATGTAGCG